CTCTCTCTCTCTCTCTCTCTCTCTCTCTCTCTCTCTCTCTCTCTCTCCTGTGTTTTTTTTATTCCACGGTGATTTTTTTTGCGGGACATATTCGTTTCGTGCAATACTGTCTCCTTACTCTATACCAGTCTTTTCACATTTTCTCTTTCTTTTTTGGGACAAATTGTGCGTGTGTGTTTGTGTTTGGATGGGTGTTTCAAATCTTTTTTTTACCTGCATTTTGGAAAAAAAATTTTCGGATCAAAAAAAGCAAAAAAAAAATTGCCATAATAATTAGTCATTGATATTTTGCTTGCTTGCTTCAAATATCAATGACAAAAAAGATCATTATTTTTTCTTTTTGGATTGAATAACATTATTGGAATTTTGTGTGTGTGTGTGGGTGTATGGGTGGAGAATGAAATGAAATGAATGCAATGAAATGAGTGAAATGAATGCATGTCCAATCTTTAATTTGAGAATTTTATAAATTGAAAACCAAAACCAAAAACCCATTTAATAATCAATCGAATGTTTTTTTCTTCTTCTTTTTGGTCTTTGACTTTTTCTATGCAATCATTTTTTTTCTTTTTTTTGCTTTTCCATTTGGATTGAAATTTTAATTGAAAAAATATCTGATTTTGCTTTTTCCTTCTTTTCTCCCTTGGAATTTCCAAAAAACAAACAAACAAACAAACACATTCCGATGGACAATAATGAAAAAACAGAATTATTCACATCAATCATTGGTGTATTTATTAGTTTTGATGATGTTGGCATTGGTACGATTGTCGGTTCAGCCGTATTCAATATATTATTTGTATTATCAATGTGTGCAATATTTTCAAAAAATGTATTAGATTTAACATGGTGGCCATTATTTCGTGATGTTTCATTTTATTCATTAATATTGATTACATTGGTTATATTTTTTATTGATTCAACAATATTTTGGTACGTTATTTTTGAATGATTTCAAATTCTTTATTTATTTATTTACAAAAAAAACTGTATTTTTTCCGCTTTTTCTATAATCAATATTTCATTTTATTTAATAATAATGATTTTTGTTTCTTCGATTTACTTTATCAACGAAAACTATTACAAATAAAAAAGGTATGAAGCATTAATTTTATTGACATGGTATGCAGCCTATGTTACATTCATGAAATTCAATGAATCAATTGAACATTTTGTTAAACGAATAATCAATGGTGCCAAAGTCAATAATGATAATGATAATGATGATAGTAAACCACCTTTAGATTATCAGGTTTGTATCAAACAGTTTCTATTATTATTGTTCTATTTGTTTCATTTGGTTTTTATTCGGTTCGATTCACAGTATAAACGTAAATCATCAACACCAATGTTACATGGTGGTTCAAAATTTCGTCAAGGATTATTACAATTAATGATACATTCGATTGATCCTTTATATGAAGAACAATTACAGATGACAACAACAACAACAACAACGATAAATGATGAAATGATTGCTTCCAAAACACACGTTCATCCACCAGGTGCTGCATTTTGTCCAATTTGTGGTGAAGATAAACATGAAATTCGTTTAGATTCGAATGGTATATTTCATACGCATGATCATCATCATAATCATCAAAATCATCATGATGATAATAATAATCAAAACAATGGTAATTATCATGATCATAAAGATGGTATTGTTGATAATAATAATATAATAAGAACAAATAATCCAATGAATGGTAATTTAGTTCGTCAAGATACTGTAAGTATCATTTGAATTGATTTTTTTTTCTCAAAAACAAAAATTTAATTTCCTTATTTCTTGGAGAAAAAGAATGTGAAAATCTGTTCCTGTGTTTCATCTTATTATTATTATTAGTTTTTATTTTAATTGAAAAAAAACTGCAGTGAATTAATTTGTGTTTTTCTCCCATTTTTTTCTCTTCGTTTTCTCTCGTGTGTTTGATGAACTAATAATAAATGAATGAATGGTGAAAAAAATCTATAATAATAAAGATTGCAACAGCCGAAAACAATGATCCATTAGATGTTTCATGGCCGGAAACATTACGTGAACGTTTAACATATTGCCTATTGGCACCGATAATCATACCATTATGGTTAACATTACCAGATGTTCGTCGACCTGTATGTTGTATTCAATTAGTATTAAAGTTTAATTTAGTTGGTTTATTATTAAAATAATTCTTATTTTTTTTACTTTTTCCCTTTCGAATAACTGAATAATGATGTCTACGATATTAAATTTGGATAAATTGAAAATTTGATTATTTTTATTATATGTTGAATGAATGAATGAATGAATGGAAAAATAAAAAGGACAAACGTAAATGGTTTGCAATCACATTTATCGGCTCAATCCTATGGATAGGTCTTTATTCATATTTTATGGTTTGGTGGGCAACACAAGTTGGTGATACATTTCGTATACCATCCGAAATAATGGGCCTTACATTTTTAGCTGCTGGTACATCAATACCTGATCTAATTACATCGGTTCTTGTTGCACGTAAAGGTCTTGGTGATATGGCTGTATCTAGTTCGATTGGTTCGAATATATTTGATGTTGCTGTTGGGTAAATTTTTTTAATATTTTTAAATTAAATTTCTTATCGTTGAATGTTTTTTTTTCTAGATTACCATTTCCATGGTTAATTTATACAATGCTATTTGGACAGGTGAATGTCAATTCATCCGGAATGATTTGTTCAGTGATATTATTATTTTTAATGTTATTATTCGTTATAATTACAATCGCTGCATTTAAATGGCGATTAAATATTGGTATGGCTGCTGTTATGTTTGTACTTTATTTTTTCTTTATTATTTGTTCATTGATGCTCGAAAAAGATATTATCAAATGTACTTCCATTATTAATATTTTTACATTTTGAACATTAAATTAATGAAAAAAAAACAACAACTACATCACACAGAGAGAGAAAACGAAAATTATTCTTGTATAATCGGGATTTAAAATTCTTCATCATTTTTCATCATCATCAACAACATCGATATATTAAAAATCTAACAAATTACATTCAAATCCATCAAAATTATGTAAAAAAGTGAGGGAATTTCCTCTACTATTTTTTTCTGAAATTATAATTTTAAAAAATGGTTTTTTTCCAACCAAAAAAAACAAAAAAAAAAATCACATACACGTACTTAACACTCAAAATCATGTTCCATAATCATCATCATCATGCTAGAATCGTATTACTAGAATTACGAAAAAACGATAAATACAATCATTATCATAACTATTGGTGGTATATATGTGTGTGTGTGTTTGGCCTGATGGTTGTCGTTGTCGTTTGATCATCCTAATATATTGATTATAATGATGTTGGCTGTGATCGTAATTTTTTTCTTCTTTATGTTTCAAAACACACACACACCGAGAGAGAGAAATTTATTTGCTAATGTAAAACTTTTCATAATAGTTTTATTCATTTATGAATTGAAAAAAACTATAGGAATTTTTATTCAATATTCTGGCAAACAAACAAATAACCAGAACAATTTCATTCATTCAAATCCTATTTTTATGATTATAATCATCATCATAAGATTTTTTTCCTATTTCGAAAGCAATATTAAAAAAAAACTTTATATGTTTAGTATTTCATTCATCAATGTTGTTTTTTTTGTTTTTTGCATACAAATTTCACATCCAAAAACCAAAAACAAAAACAAAACAAGCAGAGAATATAATTCAAGATTTTATTTATTTTTGTCATTTTATTTTAAATTTTTATTTATTTATTTATTTTTTTTGGGAAAATAAAAATTATTATTCGATCATTATCATTATTGGATTGATTTATTTGTGTTGTTTTTCAATGGCATTTCAATGTGTGTGGTGTGTTTATGAGATTACAACGAAAAACATTTACATTAAAATTAATTATGTTTTTTTTCATGAAGAATTTTTCAAAATTCAATGAGCAAATTGCCTGTTTTGTTTTGTTTTTTTTAGAAAAAGAAAGAAAATGTTCAATGGTTATAAGCACTGAGAAATAAAGAAAAAGAAGAAAAAAACATAAGCATTTTTGAATTCTGAAAGAATTTTTGCGTATAACAAAATGTGAACATAGAGAGGGCTTTGAATGTTGGATGAGAAAAAATTGAAACTTTCAAACATCCATACACGCAATACACACACACAAGGACATCTTGATGAATGAATGAATGAAGAATCCCGAATGAAAATTGAATTTCGGGTTTTCATTGCCGGTCATCATCATAATCAACAACAGCAACAACAAATATCAATTTCACATTCACAGAAAAAAAACGACAAGACGATGACAAGAATTGAAGGTGAATTGTTTGTTTGTTTGTGTTTAGATGAATTCGATTCAAACGGAATAAATTCTTTATATATTTTTTCAAACATTGAATTCTGGTTTGTCACACGGTTTATAAATTGATTTTTGTTTTTGTCGTTGTCGTTTTTTTGCCATCTTTTTTTTTGTTCATCATCTTTATTTTGTCTGAGGCTCTTTTTCCATCATCATCATCATCGCTATCAACACCGCTGTCGATGTTTTTTGTTGGGTAAATGTCAACATTAATTTCAACATTCTTTTCTTCATTTTTGTTGTTGTTGTTGTTTCGTTTCTTTTTGGATTCCTTTGGATTTTTTTCCTGGCCAAACATTCCATTCCATTTCGTTTAGTTTTGGTATTTTGTTTTGGGTATAAATGTTATGTGTGTGTGTGTGTGATGTGTGTTTGTATGTCTATTATTATTATTATTATTTTTTGTAAGTTGTTCACATCTCATATCATATCTCTAATATCAAGTTTATCATCAATGAATGATGATGATGATGTTAATGTTGATGTTTGAAAATGAAATTATTTACAACACAAATTGAGTTTAGATAATGATAATAATGATCGCGGTTAGATAAAATGAATGAAATGAATTTTCTGATGAATTTTCTGTTTTTTGTTTAGGTTCTGAATGATGCTGATGAATGATGATGATTTGATCAAAATTGAAGGAAAACCAAAATGAAAGTATTTACAATTTAAAATTTACAAATATTTTTGAAACATGTTGTATGTGTGTCTTTTGTGTGTGATTTGTTTGAAATTAACGAAAACAAACATTATATTAAACCATATAACAAGGGACATTAAATGATAACAAATAATAAATTTTTTGTTTTCAACAGCATTTTATATGTACATTATTCATTGTTCGATGAATTTCTCGTTCAGAAAATAAAGTTGTCTTTGCAATCAAAGATTTTATCCAAATTTGTTTCAAAGAACAAAGAAATCAATAACGATGATGATCATCTTCATTGATTTATAGAAACAAGGCCATAATCAATGATGTTAAAATGGTCAGTATGAATGATGATCGATATAATTGTTGACATCCATTTCCATTATTATATTCTCGGCTAAAGAATTTAAGAGAAAAAAGAAGAAAAAAAAATGAAATTTTTTCTTTGTTTCTTCATTCATTTATTGAATATTTACCTGGCACTACGTTTACCATGTTGTATACTAGCCGCTGGATTAGCATTATTTTGTACATGAACAGCAATATGTGCCGGTTCAGCATTTGATGGTGTACAGCTATAATTTCCCGAATCATTAGCTTGAGCTTTCAATATGATCAATTTTGAAATAGTTTGTGCAGATTTTTCTGTATGCACTTTAATACCACGAGGTGATCCATAGTTAATCACCTTGAAATAATAAGAGAAAAAAAAAGAGATAGTCAAAAACAAAAATGAAACAGAACATATAACGAAACGAATGTAATGATAATTTAATGATCAGTAAAAATGATAACAGAAAAATGGAACGAAAAAAAAGAAAGATATGGGCAAGCAAAGGAAAATAAATTTTCATGATTGCGTGCATTAGATGTTCATTTTTGGTCGTGGAACGGTATTTATTTTTTATAATATTCATTATCATGCGCGATCAAGTATTCATGATTATTATTAATCGAGACAGAGAAAGAAAGAAAATAAAAAAGAGGTAAAACAAAAAACAGAGAAGAATATCAAAGTATTATGATAATAATGATAATTGAAAAAACATAAATAAAAAAAGGAATGGATCGTTAAAAAAAACAAACAAACAACCGAAAATTGATAATAAACAAAAAGCAGAAAATCAATTAATCAATAAATATTGACTTACTTGGCCATTATAATACCAGAAAATATAATCCGGTGGTTCGGGCGTATCTTTTACCATACAAGTTAGATTTAATGTTGAACCACTGCTTAGGTATAGGGTTGGACCTTCAACAATTTTTGCTCGACTCACTATTGGTTATTTTAGTTGATCATCATCATCATTATCAATAATCAAATAAAATCCGATCAGGAAATATTATCAAACCAAAAATGCAAATGTTGTTACAACGTTAAACAAGAGAGAGAGAGGAAAAAAATTGTAAAAAAAGTTTCATTATTTTCTTTTTTCTTGGAACCAACAAAAAGGAAACTAAACTAAACTAAACCAAAACAATCCACTTACCAACAACATTAAGTTGAATAAATAGACTCATTTTTGGCATCGTAGAAATCTAAATGAGAAAAAGAAATCATTTCGGAAATGGAATTATTATTCGTTATACAGAAATATCTTTCTTTTCTCTTTTCTTCAATCAGATATCGGATAAAGTGATTTATTATCAAAAAAGAAAAAATAAATAATGTAATCATATATTTACCTGACATTCATATATGCCAGCATCTTTTTTTCTTGGATAACTTATCTGTAAAGACCAATCATCAGAATTTTCACGATGTATGGCCTGAAATCGTTGATCCGATGTATACGTAAATGTTCCGACTGGTAATTTTTTCCCAACAACAAAAAACGAAGCGAACCAAAAAAAATTGAATTGAAAAAATTGAAAATCAAAATAGAGAAAATTGATAAATGGATTTATCATCATCATCATCATCATTCTTATTAATAATAATATTTACCCGTCAATATTTGAAAATCTTGACGTCGAATCCAAGATAACTACGATAAATGATATTAAAGGAGAAAGAGAAAATGAAAAATAAAGTTTAGAAAATGGATTGACAAATAAGGAAAGAAAAAACTTCGAAAATTGAAAAGTTTGCAAATTTTTCATTTTCAAATTCCGAATGAAATTTCAACCAAAAAAAAACCAAAATCGATAATCAAAAGAAAAAAATGTAGATCACTTACAGTACGATCACCTAACTGTTTAACACGACATGGTAAATGTACAAATGCTGAACCTTCAGATATGGTTACATTTGTTGATATTGATTCTGTATCAAAATATGGTGAAATACGTTTCTGTGCCGATGATGATGATGATTGAGATGATGATAATAATGCTGTTGTTGATGATGAAAGTGCAACGGATGAACCGGCTGATGTACCACCGAAAAATTGCAGACCACGTTCACGTTCTTCAGATGATGACATAAATTCTTCTGAATATGAACGTACAAAACGTATTGTTGCTAATTTATTATTTGTTATAATTGGATAATTAATATCATCATCATTTATCATCATTTGATTATCGGTTAATGATGATGTTGATGATGATTTCGGTAATGATGATGTTGGTAAACAACTACCTATAATTGATGGAATCAAGCCATAAGAAAACGAAAGAAAAAAGATTAGGAAAACGAAAAAAATATTAAAAAAAAAAAACAAAAATAGAATCATTCAACCGAGCTAAAACCGTTTTTTGGATGGTAAGACCGTTCGTTCCCTTTCTCCATACACACACTTGAACATTTGAAAATTAAATTTATTGATTTTAACTTGACATTCGATGAAAATTGGATTCGCTTTCACAAACGAGAATGACGACAATAATAATAATTTCTACTTTTTCACCCACCCACTCACCATACACATTGACATTTGTCTGGACATTGATATCGAATCAATTTTGAAGAAAAAAGGACCAAAAAAAATCGATGTCAAAAAATTGATTTTTTTCTCGTTGTTGTTGTTGTTGTTCTGCTTAGCAAAGAACAACAACAACAACAATCATATTACTATCATCAAAAATCTGATACGATGACGTTGAGAATCCAATGAAAAAAACAATGTTATTGAAGCCAATGTTATTCTTGTCTTTTTTTACATAGAATTTAAAAAAAACAAACAAGTAATAATCCACATTGAACAATTAAACAAGTGCATTTTTTCGCTTTGCTTTTTCCGTTCCAATTTGATGATTTGATTTTAATCTTAAACGAAACAAAATTTACTTTCATCATTTGATTGGATTCTATTTTTGGATTGATTTGAAATGAAGAAAAAAAAATTCAATTCCATTGAATTAAAATTGTATGCTGCACACAATTTTATAGAAAGAATGAAAGAAAGAAAAGAAAGAAGAAAATAGAATGTTGAAACCAGAAAGAATTGATACTGAAACCAATCTTATCATAATAATAATACCATTTCAAGAATGTGATATGATATTGGGGCAGGCAGACAGTGAATGTCAGTACATTTGTCTATCTGTCTATCTGTCTGTCACTGATTCTTTATTTCAGATTCTGTATGTAGAATTCGTATTCTGTATCTGCATGTGAATTTAGCAACAAAAAAAAATCCGACAATAAATTAAATTATATATTGGCAGGCTATAACTGATATAGCCAGTGAAAAAAACGAAATATCGAATAAAATTGGGGGGTTAAAAACAAAAAACAAAAAAGTTTAGATTCGGGTTGACCAGATTTTTTGTTTCATATCAGTCTTGCTTTCACACAATAGTTGTTATGTTAGGATCACGCAATGTGTTTGTCTGTATATGTGTTTGGTGCTTCTTGTATTTTCTTTTTAGTTTTTATTTTCGTTGAACCAAAAAAAACCAACAACCTCCTGATAAAACAAAATACGAGGAAGGATTGAAATAAAATTTTAGTTTTTTCTTTTTCTCTTTCGTTCCGATTAAAACATACATACGAACAACGATAACAGAATCCATGAATTTCATGATTTTGAAGAATGAGTTTTCAATCGCCTGTATCTTTCTGCGTCATACCCGTATGATTATAAATTTTATTTTATTTTTTTTTTTTCATTTAAAATTCTTTTTTTTCATTTCATTTTGGACAGTTTCGGACAATTTATCAGAATGTTTTTCTCTGTTTTTGGACCAAATTTATTTATTCATCCATTATCAAAGTGTTTGAATCGATTGTTTGAAATTCATTATTATTCATTTAGAATAGAAACATTGAAAATAACAGCTTTGTTTTTTTACTATTTTTTTCAACGAAAAATTGAAACTTTCACTGTATTATTACTGGGGTTAGGAATAGAAAATTTCCAGGAACCAAGAGGAAAATCCTGCTTAACAACAACAACAGAATAAGCCAATTGACGTTTTGTCGATTTTTCTTTCCAAGCAAAAACAAGCGACCAACGAACCCGAACGCGACAGATTTTTTTGATAGGGACACACACACACACAATATATTTATTCTGATAATAAATGACTTTTTTGGACTACCATCATCAAATAGCAAAAATGAAAATTCTTCATCATCATCATTATTTTCTTCTCTTCACAAGAATCTTTCTTTCTTTCTTTCTTCCAAAAAAGAAAACAAACAACAACAAACAAAAAAATACTCATCGAGAATCAATGGTTTTGATATATATTTTTTATTCGTAATCATCATTATCAAATGATGATGAAGATGAAGTTATGATATACGAATCATGGATCATCATCATCAATTCTAAGCTCAAATAACGAATTAATCTAAAAAAGCAAAAATGAAATATCATCCGAATAATATTAACACATCATCATCATCATCATCATCAAATATCAAGTGTTTAATGATACAATTTCTCTTTCTTCTTCTTCAATATATATCTTGTTGAATGATTGTTTAGATTAACTATACCACTTAGTTGCACATGGATGGATGAATGGAAAAAAATTTTGACCAAAAAAAAAAACTTCATATCCCGAAATTCCAGAAAAAATTACTCAAGTAACTGTCTCTATCTATCTTTTCTCTATTTCTATTTTCCTTTTTCGATTTCAATTTCGTAAATGCAATTCTTCAACAAAAAGAACGAGAATATTGAAAACAAAGAAAAAATTCAGAGTGGAAATTGAAAAAAAGGATAAGAATAATAGTTTTTCAAAATTAAAAAACAACAAATTTGTTTAAATCCGGTAAGAATTTCAATTTTGTTGAATTTATCATCATCATAATAATAANAACAACAACAACAACAACAGAATAAGCCAATTGACGTTTTGTCGATTTTTCTTCCCAAGCAAAAAACAAGCGACCAACGAACCCGAACGCGACAGATTTTTTTGATAGGGACGCACACACACACACAATATATTTATTCTGATAATAAATGACTTTTTTTGGACTACCATCATCAAATAGCAAAAATGAAAATTCTTCATCATCATCATTATTTTCTTCTCTTTACAAAAAAAAAATCTTTCTTTCTTCCAAAACAGAAAACAAACAAACAACAACAACAACAACAAAAAAATACTCATCGAGAATCAATGGTTTTGATATATATATTTTATTCGTAATCATCATTATCAAATGATGATGATGATGAAGTTATGATATACGAATCATGGATCATCATCAATTCCAAGCTCAAATAACGAATTAATCTAAAAAAGCAAAAATGAAAAAAATGAAATATCATCCGAATAATATTAACACATCATCATCATCAAATATCAAGTGTTTAATGATACAATTTTTGCTCTTTCTTCTTCAAATATATATCTTGTTAAATGATTGTTTAGATTAACTATGCCACTTAGTTGCACACACACACATGGATGGATGAATGGAAAAAATTTTTGACCAAAAAAAACGATCCAAAAAAGTTCATATCCCGAAATTCCCGAAACATTGCTCAAGTAACTGTCTCTATCTATCTTTTCTCTATTTCAATTTCGAAAATGAAATTCTTCAACAAAAAGAACGAGAATATTGAAAACAAACAAAAAAAATTCAGAGTGGAAATTGAAAAAAAGGATAAGAATAATAGTTTTCAAAATTAAAAAACAACAACAACAACAACAAATTTGTTTAAATCCGGTAAGAATTTCAATTTTGTTGAATTTATCATCATCATCATAATAATAACCGACGATGAATGTGCTTTGTCGAATACTAATTCCTGTGTAAAGCTGCAAAGTTGTTTTTTCTCCCATTTCTCCCAGTTTGATGGAAAGCCAACCAGCCAAATACACAAGCACAGAGAATACACATATAGAATAATATAACGGATGATGAAAATAAAAAATTCAAAACACGAGAAAACTATAATAAAAAACTTAAGCGCAAACGGGAAAAAACTTGATAAAAATGAATAATGAATTGTGAACGGAGAGAGAGAGATGAGAGAGAAACAAGACAAAAAAAACAGAAAAGAATTCAACGAAGAAAAAATGAAAAGATAATTGAAATTCTTTTCAAATTCATCGACTTTTCAAATTGAAAAATTGAAAATGGGTGGATGAATGGAACGGAATCCTCTTTAAAAAAAAAAAAATTATTTTCTGAAAAAAATAATAATTGATTATCGATCATTTCTGCGTAATAAGTTTCCATATTGTTTTTTTTCATGTTTTTTTCTTCTTCTGGTTTTTACTTTTTAAACACAAACACACACTAATCGGTTATCCAAAGAATAATTTGTTTATCATATAATATTTATTCATTATGTTGGAATATATAATGTTTTTTCCACACACACACAGAATGTCATTGGAACCAGAAATCATCCTGTACATAATGATATATCTTTGCAATTAAAAAATTTTTTTATGGAATCCAAAACGACGACGACAATGACAAAGATGATGATGATTATGGCAATCATTGTAGTAATAACGCAACCGGAAATCAATGAAACACATTTCGGTAAAGTCATCAGTATGGTAAAATGGAAATTTTTGTGTGAAATTTTTCACACAGTTTTGTAGAATAGGCTAAATAGAAAACAAAAACAACAAAAAATTTTTTTAATTATTATTATCATCACCATGGCGGCTGTCATCAATATAAAATGGCATTCTTTCTTTCTTTCACATCCTATTTAACTACGAAAATTCTCATCTGGTTAATGTCTGGTTGATGTTGTTATTGCTTTTTTTCCATCATCACAACCAACCGCATCATTTATTTATTTATTGTTTTGCATATCTTTTCATTCGCCCCGTATAAAAATCTATGAAAATGAATTTTTGAGAACAAAAAAATCAAAATTTTTTTTTAATTTTCATAATTTTCTGGCATATGCAGAAAACAGAAACAAAAACAGAAAATCCCTTGATCATTGTTTTTGCGTTGTTTGTTTATTGTCATCATCATCATCATCATGTTCAGCAGAATAACCTCGGTATATCCATATGGGAGCCCGGAATGAATTCATTTTTCATTCTTTTTATTGTTTCGTTTTTGTTATTTTCGGCGACAAAAATTAAAAAAAAAGAATAATAACGCGACAATGAAAAAATTCTTAAAATTAATTATTAGCTAGAATTATCATCATCATCAATCGTGATGCTAAATCTGGAGCACAAAACAAAATTTTTGTCATT